GTAGTTTATGATAGGTTGAATTAGACTTCCTCATCCTGAGGCCATGCAGAGCAATATTACAGTAATTTGGCAACTTCAATGTCAATAAAACTGCTGGCAATTTCAGGAACTTGAAGAAGTTAACTTGTGCATGCAAAAATGAAACCTTTTGATTTAAATTAACTACTCCACCATTGACACTAAGCCAAGTCAATCAATATTTAAAATAAAAACACGTACTGTAAGTAAACATTATGCGTTGAATTAGCATGAAATTTCCTAATTAAACCATTTTACTATCTGATATACAGTATTAATGGAAAGTTATTACGCCATGGATCCCCAACGTATTTGCTAGGAAACAAAAGCCTTGTTGCATCATGGCTGGTACTCACACATGTGATTTCTCCAGGAAATTCAGGACAATAAAGTTCTTACTTCACTTTGCTGTAAACACGAGTGACCTACAAATGAAATGAGCATCCTGCATGCCTGCTTTTGAAATATTTGGTAGTTTACCACATTACACAATATAAGCTTTAAGTACAAGCAAAATATAGGTCTGATAGAATAAGAAAGAGACCAAAACTTGATTCTCATAATATCTCAAATATCTAATTTTTCTACATCGATTCCACAAGACTCAGCATATACCGAACACAAACACAAAACACACCGTCAGTATCAAGAATTGTTTGTTTTCTTTCAAACACCCAAATGTTAAATACCATGCCATTTCCTGAATTTCTGTTCACATAAAAAAACGTATTTTTATGTAGATAGTAACTTATTTACAGTATTGGAAATTATAATAGAAACAAAGGAAAAAAGTGGATATACAGTAAAATACAAATTTCATATTAATGTATTTGTCTTGTCAACCTCTTTTACTGTCAAAAGTACTAGTTTTACAAATCCCTAACATTCTGATACAAAAGCCTTTCACTTTTATCCAAGAACTATTAATATTTTGCATGGCATACTGTAATTATGCACCTGTTGTATTATTTATTTATATTGTTTTATTTATACCAACTACACCTTTCATTTATTTGTTAAATAGACATTGTTCTCCAAAACATTTTTCACTTTTCATGTGTTGTTAATAAATGTCTATTCAAACTGTCATTTCTCAGCAAAGCATCAAACTGTTAAATCAAATGCCACGATTCTCGCTTTCTCAAAAAGATAAAAGTGTTTCAAAACAAATCATTCCATCTAAAATTAGTTTTGTTCATGTAGTCACGGAAGCAAAGAAATAAAAAAAAAATAGGAAAATATACAGAATGCTTAGAGCCACCAACTCATGGTCAGTAAACAGTTCCCTCTTCTGATTATTCATTTGATCATGTCTTTTGTAAACCTTGGAATAATCAGAAACTTATTGTAAGCAATTATACGGGCAAGTACTCCAAAATAAAATCTTCATGCAGCACTAACTGCCTGTTATAATGTGGATTTAGCAGTATTGTTCATATAATCTTAATATGTGTGGCTGTACATCTGAGGCAATAATGGAGAGCTAGCCTAACATACTACAAAAAAATAAATTATACATTCTTCTTTTTTTGTATTTTGGTATTTACTTGTTTATTTTATTTTCTAAACAAATGCTGCTGTATACAGTATATTGTATTATGGCTCAAACATTTTTTTATTTAACAAAGTTCTTAACTAGTAAAAGTAATGAAAGTTTTAAAATCTATATTGTAGGAGCAATGCATCATGAGATTGCCTTAGGCTGGGCACTGAAAGAAAAGAGGTACATCTCAAGGCAAATGACTGCTTATTTCTAAATTATAACAAAATTTGCCCTTTGTACCTAAAGATAATGATGCCATCAGCAAGTGTTCAAGAGATCCTTAACTAACTCAGCACTAAGTCAAAAGTCAGCACTCTTTTAAATGACTGTTACAGATTTTTAACTACAATCAAGAAATAAATATATAGACTGTCTTTTCAGCTAAATACTATACTTAGAATTTATTAAAACCTGTACATTCTTTTAAGACAGCACTTAAAAATGATTCTTGTTTTACTAACAGTACAGTAACGATTGTACAGTTTACAATAATCTATGACAATAACATATCATGTTTCTGTTTCATTGGAATTCTTCTTTCATTTTAGTATCCACTAAACTATAACTGAACACAATCAACTTAAACAAGAGAGAACTGGAGCTGATTGCATGATCTGTTGTTTTTCTTTGAAACTGATAGCCACAATCAAGCTTAAGTGTTCTTTTGGTACTGAAATCAACCTGGAAATACTACTGACCACAATCAGTATAATCTTCAGAGATACTTGTATTCAGCAGTAACAATATATTTTTTTATTTACATTAATTTACATCCCTTTGATTCAATAAATTAGTAACTTACATTTCAGTTTAAAGAATGTTATTAAGATGCCTCCTCAAAATGAAAAAGAGGACTAAGAACATGTTAACAATAAAGCTGTGAATTACTGTAAATGCATGTTGTTTTGGTTATAAAGACACCGATCAAGAGTGAAAAATGTGTCAGCAGGGGGAATATTCTTTCTCTTGCTCAGCTACAGCAATTCAAAAAGAAAAGACTTGTTGTATTTTTGTTTTGATACAAAGTTTACCATGTACAGTAAATATAGAGTTTTGCTTCTTACCATGAGATTTCGGGCTCACATCTCTTTGTCTGTGTCCCATGCCTGTCTATGAAGTTGAGCTTCAGCTCACCACGGTTTCTTTTCACTACTCAAATGACCTGCATCAGAATAGAAACAAGGAAGTCAAGCACCCAGCTGACAGCCTATCCCAAGGTGCTTTGCTCACATTCCTGGTCGACATGGAAACTGTGGGCTATGCCTTTTTTTTTTTTGCTCCTGGCAGTCTTCCCATCTCCTAACTCATCTGTAAGAAAGTTACTCCCAAATTCTTGTATGTTCTTGTGTGTTATGTCCAATTATGGTGTTGCAGGGAAGGGCTCTCTAAAAAACTGATTCATCTGTGAGCACCTAAAGAGAAATTAAATGTACCCCTCTGGCCTTTGCAGCCACACCAGGAGCTACTAATAATCTGATTTTTACTTTTAATACGCTATAGACAGAGAAGAATATTTTACCTGAAATACATTACAAATAAGCATCTTTAAAAAAACTGTAGTATTGCACTTAGTACAATTGGTGAAAATAATGTACAATTTCACAAAATCTAATAGTTTGTAAAAGATTTTGATAAATCATTTTATTAGAGAAAATGGTTAGAATTCCTAATTTTCAAAACTGTTGAGTTTACTGTTGAAATTAAATTAACAGAGCATTTAATAGTTAAATGAACCTTTAGCCTGCGGTTAAGACATGTCAGTACTTTAAATCTTCTCTGATGGCCTATCCCTACATTTGATCATGTTTCCACAGCAACCGGTCAGAAAATGTGTCACGCTATATGAAGTGTAAAATTAATAATGTGCAGACGTAATTTGGCCATGTCTTTACACTCGATCATTTCATTTTTACATGCTTTTTATATAATGGACTGTTGTTCTAATACTCTTATTATTTGACAAAAATTACTTAATATATGGCATACTGTACATGTATTTCAGTAAACCTTTTCAAATTTTATTTTAGTTTTTAAAAGATAACCTAGGTGTTTCCTTGATATCCTAATGAATCAGTATGCAGAACATGTTGCAGCACGCGTCATTATGTTAAACACTCATTGTGTAAAGTGCCAGCTTATTATTATAAGTAAATGTCTAAGTTATGCAAGGTTTGTTCCAGTAACTCCTACTATATGGCACGTCATGAGATAATACCAAATGTGAGTCCCCTAAGGAATATTCAGTAATGAATTGGTGGGAAGTCAGGGATGCAATGATGAATAATCATGAATATGTGATTTGACTTTATACTGTAAGTAAATATCTGATAAGCTTTTCATTGACGATGTACCAAGAAATGGTTAATGTACAGTACAGAGAGTATTGATAAAGGAGGATATGTCAAACTGTGACAATGAAGTTATTGAGGAAGTGCAGGGAAAATTAATTTATAGAAATCTTTTTAAACATATACTGTATCTTCAACTTATATTCAGGCTAAATCTTAGGTATTGTCTTAGAGTTGCTACTTTTTAAAAATCAAGGGCTGCTCGGTCTGCTTTGCATGGTCTTGTATTTGGATAAAATGATTAAAAGAGTGTTCTGTTGTTAAATAAACATTGCATTAACTTTGTACTATATTTGTACTTCGTAAGAGATAAAGGATTGTTTTCACAAATCCTTGAACCCTGAGGCCTTGATGGAAGCAAATTTGAAAAAGTTTAAACAAAAAACAAGAAATAGAAGGAAAATCTAAATCAAACGTATAGAATCTTTCTGAAGACAACATTTTTACTTGTTATGAAAGAACTATTTTCCATTAAGACCTTTATAAATAATACATTTATTTTGATTTCTATTTAACAGGTAATAGTTCGTTTGCCAGTATATTGTAGTTTAATATATAGAAGTGTATCTGTGGTTTTTAAGGAACCCGTTGTCTTAATTTTCTCTGTAAAAGCGTTCTCAGTGATTTGACACCTTACAATGAAAAATTGATTTTGCTGGATCTTTTTAATTGGGTTTTCCTGGCCTAAAATAAAAGATTTAGTGAAGCAAACTGAGTTGCATTTTTACTTTCAGAACTCATCAGGAACAAAAACTAGGAGACAGTGGGTTCTTATTTATCATGACTACAGTACTATGACATCTCTTTTAACTAGCTGCACACCAGAGCATATCCTGGAAGCATGAAGGGCACGGTAGGACTGAGAGCAGACAATTGCTCATGTATTAAATTGGATGACAGTCTATTGCTGGACCAAAGAACAAGTAACAAGTTTGTCCTGTGTGCCCAACAAAAACCCACACAAAGGCATGAAGAAAATTTAATGACATGACAATGAACAATGTCTGGACAATGACATGAGGTAGAGCCCTAACTGCCATGCCACCCCCTTAAGTCTTCCACATCATTAAATTAATAGGCATTTTATTTGTCCAGTGCTTTGGTAAGTTGACCTCCACACTAAGAATTTGAAAGTCCTGTACATTAAAGTTTTTCCCAACACATCACTAATTACCCTGACAAAATAAATCAAATTAAACATTAAAGTAAGTAGGCAAGGTATGGGACAATAGGTGATATTTCTAGTTTTTCTATACAAATGGTGAACCTCATGCTTACATCACTGATCTTGATGTTATTTTATATAATCTTGGTAAAATCTCCAAAAACACATTATATACACATATACTGTAATATAAGGCATTGGAAGTTAATAAACATATCTTTGAAATTATGTTTATTGTCATCGCAAAGGGGCGATTAAGATTAAAAATAATACTCAAGCATTAATTCACTAAATGTTTTAGAATGGGTAGCACGGTGACACAGTGGTTATCATTGCTGCCTTCCAGAGTTAGGGCCTTGGTTCCGGTTCTAGACCTGGGGTGATATCTGGGTGAAGTTTGCATATTCTCCTAGTGTTTGTGTTTTCACTGGGTTGTCTAGTTCCCTTCCACTATCAAAAGACATACTGGTAGGTTAATTGGATTTTGGGAAGATTGGCCTAGGTGTGAGTGTGTGCATGTTTGTGTCTGTTTAGCTTTCCTGAGTCCTGTCCAAGGCGTATCCTGCCTGTGTCCTTTGCTTGCTGAGTTAGGCTCCGGCTCCCCCTGAAATGGATAAAGTGGTTAGAAAATGGATGGATAGATGCTTTAAAAGATAAGAGAGAAGATTTCCACTATTATCACTGCTAAAAAATGATTAATTTTTACTTGAACATAAAGATACCCTTGTTTCTTTAAATACAAAGGTGTTTGTTTCAACCATGTATGTTCGGTTGTTTTACATTTAAGTCGATGCATTTTTTTCTTGCAAAACAAAAAGCCTTAAGCTGATTAATATGGAACAGTAGAAAAGTTAATGAAAGAACAGAAACATAACTTATTTTTAGTAAATGCAGCAAAAGCAAGTGTGCATTATATAAGAAACACACACCATGTTTGTACTTTGTCACACAGTATAATTGTAGTAGCTTAATTTTACAAAGCCTACCCTTTGCCATTTCTTCCTTCTTCCCTGCCTGACCTGCACTCTGAAACAGAGTTCACAGTCTCTCGGTAGCAGCTCTGAGGTCTACCACTGAAAAAGAGCGTAAGTGACACCAGCCTTATTAATTAATGGACCCTGAGGGACGGGTCCTGGACCCTGCCCAGTGGAGTGGAAAGGTATTGCTCTGTAAGGGAAGGAAAGCAGTGTGACAGATGCAAGCGTGCTGTCAGCAGTTTGCTGACTATCAATCACCTGGACCATTGTGGTCCTCCCTTCACAGATTGCTAGAGGGGGAGCGGGAGAGGGGAGAGAAAAGAAGATGGCGTGGGATCTACACCCTTGCTCATTCATTTCGCTGCTCGGCTCTCTGTCTGTCCTGCTTTCCCTGTACATGTCGGTTGTGGTTCCACAGATCCCCGATCCTGAGGTAAGAATAGACTTATTGTCTTTCACAAAGGTGTCATCGGGTTACAAGAAACATTGCAATGCCTGGGTTCATTACTTGGGTATTTAAGGTGGCACCTAGGGTCTTGTGTTGATGCACCATTGTGTTAAATAACAATATCTGAACAATGACCTTAAAAGACACAGGTCTTTTTGTTGTTTATTTGTATTTGTCTGTTCTGTTTTTGTCTGTCTGTTCAACTATGGTTTGTATGTTTTTTTATTAAATACACAAAAAGCTCAAATGTATCCTTATTTTTGCTTTTATATAGGTATTTGCAATAACTTTAACAAATAATAAAGACCAAAATCATAGAGTTAAATTGTGATACAAGCAATCTTAATTTAAATGTTAAGTAATTTTGCTGAATTACAGAAATGAAGTGTATATGTCACCCTCATGGATACTGATGCTCAAAGTAATCAATAGAACTTACCCAAAAAACCCTAAAATGTTTATTTTGTTCTTAGCTGCAATGGCATTGACCACAATAAAATAATGATGAGGTATTAATAAAAACCTTTAAATGCCTTGGAAAAGTAAAACAAAGTGAATAGACAGGCCTTGGACAATACCAAATGAACAGTTACGAAAATAAATTACTAGACAATTTTAAATTAAATCTAAAATTTTAATTTTTAAATTTAGTTGATTAGGATACTTCAAAAATAATGGGCAATTATAAGATAAATCACACAAAAGACATGCATTTTAGAGTGCTTATTGAGGCACAGTCCTTTTGATTTTGATACAGGATTAGATTAAGTTATATCCAGAACACTTATACTTGGTGTAGAACACTTGGTGTAGAAACTGTATCTTACCAGAAGCAACTGAATTCAAAGGAAATAGAAACAAGAGGTTCAGTTTTTCAGTAGAAAAGTGCAGTATACGTTTTTATTGCCCCAAAAGTTTTTTCATTGAATATAAGATGAGAAACCTATTTTCAATTTTGGTTTCAAATCATAATGACGGCAAAGCTTTAGTTGTTTTTGAATGTGCATTTAAGTTAATTTAAAGATATTCTTCCAAAGGCGTATCTATGGTGACACTTAGAATTTAATTTAATAAGAATAAAGAACTTAATCAGAATAAATTGATCTAAAAATGCATTCATTTTCTACCCATTGTTGACCGTTAGAGCACAGTGTCTGTATTTTCTAGACGAGAGGTTACTAAGGAGTTCCAAGCACAATACAACGCTGATATCTAAGAAATGTAATTTAATGTAGAGGAGTACTAACACACAAATGCAAGGGCTAATGTTCAATCATCACTAAGCTAATAAAACAACCTGTGAAAGAGACTTGGTAGTTTCACCGTTGTTCACTTCTAGGTTAGGATCAAAAGGGATGATAGGGTATATAATTGAATTGTCGTGAATACTGAACATACATATACAGATATGCAGATACTGTAGATTGGTTAGACTTAATTGGAAGTTTTGACTACAGCTTAATTAAGCACATTATGAAAAGGGTAATGTTGCCCCAGGATGAGTTTAAAAAGATAGCTTAAATAAAATGAATCTCTTCAGCCTCGATCAGAGGTGATTCTGAATCCCCAAAAAGCATATGAAAAAATATCATTATGATCGGCAAAGAAGCAAAAACCCAGGGTTACAGATGGCTTTTATGATTAAAGTATAAAGAGAACTGAGAACAAGAAGCACTTCTTTACAATGAATAGCAGTGATGCAGCAGCTCTAGATTCCCTCAAGAAAAGCCGTACTATTTCCAGTTTCTGGGAAAAAGAGTAAAAGGGGTCGAATCACTTACTTCTTATGTTGTAAAGCATTCTACATCTGGAAGCAAGGGTTTATTTCCAACACAATTCATTTAATTTAATCTAATCAGGCTATATTCCTTGAGTCTACCAAGTAGCTTTTGTGACCTGCCTGAAAAAAAAAAATTCTGCTCTACAAGAAAATTAGTATTCCATACAATGTGACTTTATTCAAGAACGTCTGGGGTAACAGACGTTTCACTTGATGTACCTAGCCAACAACTATAAACTAATAAATCCACATCTACGGTATAGAGCAAGCAAGGTTATCGCTTTGAATCTGCTTTCTGTAATCACCTTTCAATGATAACAAAAAAGTCTAAAAAAATATTTTTTCTTTGTTAAGGAAACTTCTAATTCTTTGAATTCAAACTAATTGCTGTAGTCTTTGGAAAAACAAACAAACATGTTGGTTGTTTTCAGTTCCTGAATTGCACCTGGTCTACCAATGTGCTATAGCAGTATATCCATTTTGCCTTTCACTGACTGCAACATTTAATTCTATTGCTTTCGCTCAATTCTCTTTTTTTCAGCCCTCAACTGTTTTACTTACTCTTTCTGCTGGCCTTCAAAATACAGTACCATCGTTTCAATAGTCACTGAACATCACCTACTTATTGTGCTGTCATTTATTTTGACAGTTATTACTTGTTCAGCTGGTCACCACTGTAAAGTATCAGTCGTCCATTTGAACTCCATTTAGATTCTTTCTTATGGCCACCCAAAAGACTGCCAACTTTAGTTAAAACATTGAGTGTGCCTTATTCATTGGAAAATGTCTAGGTCTTCTTTAGTATCTACTAGTATCAAATTATATCATCCTACAGTATCTTCCACTTGGACAGTCTTACCAAGCTCTGGGAAACAGCCCAAGATAATAATGCTACTACCTCCATACTTCCTATCGGCACAGTGTTGTTTTTAATGCTCTACTGATTGTATTAAAATAAACATATGATTGATGATTGTTACCATATAACTAAATGTTGTTCATATGTGTCTTAGAATTAAGGCAACTAAGACAAGACTTTGTGATGTCAAGATTTAATAATAGGTTTTGTCTTGTTACTCTGAAATGAAGCCCATTTTTGACTAAATGTCTCTGTGGGGCTGATGGACATGTATCCCAGTCTGGACTGATCAGTTGATGTCACTTTCATGGGGAAAATATCTTCCAAGAGAGAGAAATATGGGAAATCTTCAGCATTCTAACATTCTCTGATGAATGTTTTAATATTTAGAAATGCTTGCATCTGTTATGTATCTTGGTCTCTTATTATACCACATCACACATATGCTTCATCTGACAAGTCATGAGTGTGTACCATATTTTAGGCCTCTGTCTCGATCCTCCAATAGTTATTTTTCTAGCTGCCCTAAGTAATTTTTTTAGTATTAAAATAATGCCCATAGAATATAAAAATGTAGATTTTCAATTATGTTCTGTACAAATGAGATTGTTTTACCAAACCATTCTTTTGTATATCTATCTCCTGTCTTGTGCATGTCTATAGTTTAATGTCTGAGGTCATTTCATAATTCTTTTGACTTAAACACTGTGCTAACCTAGGTTATGAAGTCAGGATTAAATATCCACCTCAAACAGGATCAAATAATAAGAATTAACATTTTACGAAGGACAGCAACGTCAAAGATTTGAATGCTTTGTGAATGTTTTGAATACTATGTGAGATACAGTTGTGAAAAAAAGTTTGTGAACCCTTAGGAATTATATGGATTTCTGCATTAATGTGTCAGGTGCTGCAGCGAAGTGGCTGGTTAGAACCCTATGTGAGGCTGAAGTACATCTTTCCCGGAAAGGTTCCATACAGTACCAAAAGTATCCAAGTCCGAAAACATAAAGCAAAGCTGTAGTCAAGGGATATAGCAGGTTTCGAGAGCCAAAAGTTGATTAGGTTAAAGTGTCTTTCCAAAAAAGTAGAACGAAGGTTGAGCTTGGTAGAGGGAACCTCAATAGTGAGCGGATACTGAGTGGAGTGAGAGGGTATACATGGGGAAGAGTGAGTGGAATGATAATTGATTAATTAGTGCGAGGATGTGTACGGTGAGAGGTGCTCATGGGTATGCGGTGACGATTAAGTGCTCATTGTAGTTCGTGACAGAATGGCTCCTAAAATGTGATCTGATCTTCATCTAAGTCATAATAAATAAAGTCTTATTTAACAAACAACACACCTGTTTCTTCATTTTACTTGTGCAGCACTGTGTAATAGTTCACAGTTCTCTTAAGTAACATTTTACATTGCCATATCTTTACTAAACAACTAATTTAAACAATTAAGATCATTGAAGGAAAAAGTACAGTATATGAACCCTTACAGTATATTTAGTAACTAGTGGAACCTCCTTTATTGGCAATAATCTCAACCAAATGCTTTCATTAGCTGCTGATCAGACCTGCACAGTGGTTAAGAGGTATTTTTTCTCATTCCTCTATACAAAAGTGTTTCAGTTCATGAATATTTTTGGGATGTCTTGCTTGAACGGCCTGGGTTTCAGATCATGGCACAGCATTTCAATGGGATTAAGGTCAGGATTAAAATATGGAATTTCTCCTGTTTGAGCTATTCTGTTATTGATTTACTCCTGTGTTTTGGATCATTCTCGTGTTGCATGACTCAACTTCTTTTGAGATTTAGATCACAGACAGGCTCCCTGACATTCTGCTGTAGGATTTCCTGATACAACTTGGAATTAATTGGTCCCTCAATTTCTCCAAACATAACACTGTAAAATAACAGTGTTAAATAATAAGATCTACTTATTATTTTACAAGAGAATGCACCTGACACGCTGGACAAAGTACGCTTTACATGATAACAACAACAATAACAACAACAATTTACAAGTTCTGGGAGGAAAATATGATCAATAATAATAATAATAATAATAATAATAATAATAATAATAATAATAATAATAAACTTTATTTTATATAGCGCCTTTAAAGATGGCTTCTGAAAGTGCTTTACAGGATAACAACTGATGACAAAACAGTGGCTGGGGGTTAAAATACCTGTGAAACAAACAATATACTGTAGACACGGAGACTCAATAGCAATAGCAATTACTACAGCAATAGCAAAATAGTAATATTATGGACACACAATTTTTTTGACAGCTGGTATTTGTTGACAGCTTGACACAAGTTTGTCAGTGAAAATAACACAGGCATT